ATGAAGTTTAGTTCCCATGCAATTCGGCTAGTTCAAATAATATTATTTTGACTTAAGGCTTTCATAATTCAAATAAATTTTTTAAGTTTCCAATATACATGTAAGTTTTAATTTGTGATCGTGGTCAGTGATCTTTAATTATAACATATAGAAAATCAAACGAATTGATTGTGCATGGTTATTATATCTTTTATTTGGGTTTAATGCAATATATATATATATATATATCTTTTTTTTACGAAATGCAATGTATATTTGATCAGAAGAATTCACAACTGTAGAAAATATTGTTTTGTTATTAATATTTTTTCTCCATCAAAACTTTTGATTTTGAACATCTTTATAAGACACTTTATAATTTCAAATATGTTTTTTTTGTCCCGCAAAAAAAAAAACTTGAAAACTTCAAATATAAAAATTTGTATAGTGAAATTTTAAATATCAAATATTATTATTCAAATTTTCAAATTTAAAAGTTCATATTTTATTTACATTTTGGTCCTTACACACATCATATTCTTAAATATTTTGTTATTTATCATTTTAATTCTTAAAAATTATTATCTAATAAATATTTTAATTTTCTTAAATAAATTAAGGTCTTAAACTTATTTTTCTTTTAAACATTAAAATAAGATTTAAAATAATTTAAATCTGGAACCAGAAGACATCAATATCAAAAGAATTAGTGTGTTATTTTGTTAATAGTTTAATATTTAATTATATATTTCTATTTATAATTTTATATTTTAGTGTAATATTTTATTAATTAATATTAATGTAATATTTTATTATATGTGCTAGTTATTTACTAATTTTTTATGAGTTTAATAAGTTATGACAAATATACAAACAAAAATATAAAGTACAAATAATTTTGAAGTTAAATTTGAAATTTTGATTTTGAAAAAAGATAACTTTAAACTTTAAATATATAATTTTGCAAATTTTGAACTCTGAAGTAGAAAAAAATTCTTTTGAAGATGCCTTTATAAAATATAAAACCTGACAATTTGGATAACCATTAATATATAAATATATATATATATATATATATATATATATATATATATATATATATATATATATATATATATATATATATATATATATTTGTTTATACTGTGCATTTAATGAATGAAATAAACTAAATTAACTCGTGATGAAATCTGCATACTAAAAATTGTTCAAAATATGATTTTCATAATTGTATAATTTTCAGAATACTAAATATAATGTGATTTATTATTTCAGTAGGATACTTATAAATAATGCAAAATTATAATTATACAGATACTTAACAAATAAATATTATAAATAATTTAAAATGTTAATCGATACGGTATACTACTAGAACGTTTAACATGCATCATCATTATCAAAGTTTTGTGATACATTTAAACTATTAGTATAATATAATTTCAAATATAGATAGTTGTTTTAACTTTTTGTTTTCTCCTGATTCATCTACAACGTATATTTGTTTTTATAAGTTAGATATGTATATTTGACTTTACGATTTAAATATGTATTTGGTCGCTTGAATTTTTACTTGTAAAGTTAAAATTGAAGTTCTAGGGAGAGTGACTTTGTTGGACTTTAACTTTATTTATTTTTAAAACACTAATTTTAACCAATAATGATATAGTTTTATTTTAAAATTATTTTTTTAACACATCATCTACAGTCATATTTTTTTGTTTGTTCATGTTTTATATTAATTTTTAAAGCAACTATTAATTTGTTGGTATTTTTCTACAACTACATAACATATATTACAACAATAAAAATTACAGAATATATCTTATAGCTACATTTCTACATCTATATTCTAATCAATCATCTCTTATATTTCGGTATTTTGTTAAAAATTATGTATTATTTTTGGTAAAATATACATATGTGGAAACATTTTAGTAAATACAATACCATCATTTTGTAGATTAACAATTAAAATCCGAATACGTAAACGGTAAAAGGGGAACATGAGGGCAGATCCGATGACATAGTAGCACATGAAATCGAAACTAAACAAATAATATAATCATTTAGTACGCTTTATAATCTTACGGTAAGATTCGCATTATGTTCTAAGTTGAGGAAGTGGTGTTGTGCAACGTGATGACATTCTAAAGCTCCAATAATTATAAGGTTTCCAAGAACTCCTATGAATATTAAATAACGTAATATTCCTTGATTAGATTTAATTGTATATTTTCATCAGCATCGAATAAGTTCATTCGGATAAGGATGAAGAAGCATGAACTGACTCATAGTCGTCTACCTCTCTCTGATCACAACGTAAATACTAAACAAAAAAAGCATTGCCCATATAATTAGGCGCCAGGCGTGTTATTATTAATTTTGAGTATCTGAATTTTACAACTAACTAGACACAACAACAAAAATTATTGCGTTAATCCGTAATGAAATTATCTTTGTTTTGGAAATAGTTTAGAGTATAGCCATTAGAATCGTTGATACTCCTGGTTTAACTATATATTTTTACTTATTATACTCATGGTTCTGTATTTGATGAAACTAATATTTTTTCTTAGCTAATGTTTTAACTATTTTTATATATGTTGATATATATTGATAGATGTATACACATTAAAAATTATAAAGGAATTACATAAGAAAATACTTAAAACTACACTACCATCAAATACTAAGATTAACTATTTCATAGCTCTCCATGACTCCATCCACTAAACTGGTCTTATTGGGAATTATTAACTGCTTCATTATTATTAAGGAGAAAGATATATCTCAAAATAATAAATAATCTACATTAGCTCATTATTAACTTGGTCAACGTCTCAAACTGTGGCTTGTATATACTTAACTAATTCAAGTAGATGTGAAATATACTTAAATAAATGGATAATCAGAGACTGAAGACAGACAGATCTAGCCAGGCCAAACAGTAATATATACCCAATATTCTGTTTTCAATAACCAAACCAGAATAACAAAGTCCACACGAAATATTTAATAATACCATGGTATCTCTGAACTTTTCAATCTTATACATCATATGATGTTCACAAGTTGCTAACTTAGAATATTTTTTTGAAACTATTGACTCGTCTAAGTCGTCTTCCTCTTCTAATACCTTCTCAAATTCTCAATTCAAGCATAGTGGTGTAAAGAATCATATAACAATCGGTACAAACGCAACAACCCCGTTTAGTCGTTGTTTATATCAGGAGTATTTGTTATATACTCGTGTGGTAATTAATCATCACTTGTTGTTTCACAAATGCAACGAAAAAATTACTCGGTGATACATGCTCGTATCATATATGTAGCTTTCAGTATTTTTAGTATTAGCATAATGGTATCGTTTTAGTCGAATATTATAAGAACTTGCATCAATCTCTATGTTTTGGTTCGTAAGAATATTAAACTGAAAAATCCATTATCAAAAAACAAAAGAATATTAGACTGAAAAGGTATACTTTAATCTTCTTCCATCTCCATGCACTGGTCTCGATACATGCCAGTGGTGCAGACGTACACGTGGCAACTGACAAGCCGTCTATTATATCCGACGTGGAGGGAATACGTCAAGTGGTTCCAGCTGGCATCCACTTGGATTAAAAATGAAATGGTTTTTTGTTTTTTTGAAACAGAGCAAAATGAAATGGATATAATATTTTCTTTTATTTTTTTGACAAAGGGTTTGAAATGGATATAACTTGCAACGTAATTCAACAAACTAAGTTCCAAAACAAAAATAAAACGAGTTCTAAGAAATGACCTTAATAACATGTGATTGTGACATAGACACATAGTGGTTGGCTTATCTAATTCCGCAATAACCTTTTTTTTTTTTTTCATGTCCCATTTTGCAATCTTTATTCATATGTTAAATTCTATAACTCACTTGTAGTCTGTAGATAATAAAAATATTGACTAAACTTAGATCATTTTATATTATTAGCAATCATTTTTGCTAGGGCATATTCGAGTATCCAAAAGAATTATTTTTCATTATAAAAGTATAAATAAATACTTTGAATAATAATTGTTTAGGTATAGGCTTATTAGGAGAAGTGTTTTCACAGGCTGTCGTGTGTGTGAACTTTATTAATTTTTGTTGTTCTTCGAAATTCGAATGATGCAAAGAAACAGCTGGCCGTATCACAACAAGACACTGTCATCGTTGTTGGTGTACGCAAAGGAATATATCTATCATTTTTGCGTTTTATTGGTGTTTACGATTTGTGTAATTTGTTTCAAAAACAAAATTAATAAATTGGTCTCTTTCAGAAATATCCCTTCATAATGAATAGGAAAGTGTTTCTAGTTTTTTTTTGTTTGTGCTAGTATATCTTACAAATAAAAATAACCAAAACAACTCATTTAATAAGATTTTAAATTATTTCATTGGAAATTTTATCATAACTTCTGAGTAAAAATTAAAATCTTTGTTGATTACTATTCATTTTCTTCTGCAAATTTGGAATATTTCATACAGATTAATACACAATTAATCAAATAACGATAAATTTAAATGAAAATTATTGATCATTCAAAATGATAAAAGAAAACTAATAGATAAATTCACAATGAAAATATAGAATGATATTTTCTGAAATAGAAATAAGCATGAATATATTATTGGTAGAAGCTAAGGTTATAAAATTTGATATTTCATGGTTAACAAATAATACTGAGGCATTTGCTCAAAAATCCTTGTAGAACACCAAAAATATAATCTTATTTTATACATTTTCTTTTGTTTTCCCAACTTTTATATGTTTTATCCAGAACAGCTCAGTATTCATGTGAACAAGACTTTATGGACCCATCAAAAACTTTTATTTTGGTAATAACCATCAAAAACTTCCTAATGACATTAATTACATGTAAAACGCATTTAAATAGTCACTTTTTAAGTTACATCTTGTAAACACTTGTAATCACTTAAGTTAAAGAAAGAAGTTTAAAGTCAAAATAAGGGATTAACTTAAATCAAGTACCATACAGTTTAACAAATTAAAAAAAAAACAAAAAACAAAAAAAACTTCCATGTGGTCTCTTCTTCCTTCCTTTAAGAACGCGTTACAGACATTGCTCAGACTTCGCGCCGCCCACCTCTCTCTTTCTCTCTCACACGTTTTTTTCTTTTAATTTTCTTCATCGCCGGAGACTTTTGACCTCTCATTCTCTCTTTAAACCTCTCTTTTCTTCTAAAAACCACATCACAAAGATCTCAGCACCTCTCTTCATTTCATCTTGATCATGGCGTTACCAAAGAACAACAGTAACAGCACCAAGAAGAAAGTCTCCTACATCTCAGTCCCTTCTCAGATCATAAACTCTCTATCTTCTTCCTCTCTCCAATCACTTCTTGTCTCCCCCAAGAAATCCTCAAGATGCACCAACAGATTCAGCTACAGAAACCCAAGACTCTGGTTCTTGACTCTCTTCCTCGTCTCCCTCTTCGGTATGCTGAAACTCGGATTCAACGTTGACCCAATCTCACTCCCTTTCTCACGTTACCCTTGCTCCACGGGTCAACAACAACTACTAAGCTTCGACGGAGAAGAAGGAAAAGAAGAAGAACACCACGCCGTTTCCCATCTCGGTCTCATCCCAAAAAACGACACGCAGTTTAACTCGACTTTGCCTACGGAAGGTGACTTCTGGAAGCAACCTGATGGGTTAGGGTTTAAGCCGTGTCTTGGATTCAGCAGACAGTATCGTAAAGACAGCAACTCGATTCTCAAGAACAGGTGGAAGTATCTTCTCGTTGTTGTCTCTGGTGGGATGAATCAGCAGAGGAACCAGATTGTTGATGCTGTTATCATCGCTAGGATCCTTGGTGCTTCTCTCGTTGTTCCTGTTTTGCAAGTCAACGTCATTTGGGGAGACGAAAGGTATAATAATAACATAAAGCTCTTTAAGATTTATATCAAAGTTATATAAAGTATGTGACATTTTGCTGATTATAATGTTTGAATGTAGTGAGTTTGCGGATATATTCGATTTGGAGCATTTCAAGAACGTTTTAGCGGATGATGTTCATATTGTTTCGTCTTTACCATCAACACATGTCATGACAAGACCTGTGGAAGAGAAAAGAACTCCACTTCACGCTTCTCCTCAATGGATTCGTGCTCATTACCTCAAGCGAGTAAGATTGGCTCTGTTTCCTCTGTTTTATTAAGCTAACTCTGTTTCTTGCTCTGTTTCCTCTGTTTTTATTAAGCTAACTCTGTTTCTTTGCTCTGTTTTAGTAAGCTAACTCTGTTTCCTCTGTTTCTGCAGATTAACAGAGAAAGAGTTTTACTTCTCCGTGGACTAGATTCAAGGCTCTCCAACGACCTTCCTTCTGATCTTCAGAAACTCAGATGCAAAGTAGCATTCCAAGCGCTGAGATTCTCACCGAGGATTCTTGAACTCGGTAACAAGCTAGCTTCAAGAATGCTAAGCGAAGGACAGTATCTCTCACTCCATCTAAGAATGGAGAAAGATGTTTGGGTTAGAACCGGTTGTCTCCCCGGTTTAACACCCGAGTACGACGAGATAGTCAACAGCGAGAGAGAACGTCACCCGGAGCTTCTCACCGGTCGTTCAAACATGACTTACAACCAAAGAAAACTCGCTGGCCTTTGCCCTTTAACAGCTCTAGAAGTCACAAGGCTACTTAAAGCTTTAGAAGCACCGAAAGACGCGAGAATCTACTGGGCAGGAGGAGAGCCTCTAGGTGGGAAAGAGGCTTTGGAGCCTTTAACTAAAGAGTTCCCTCATCTCTACAACAAACATGACCTTGCATTACCTGGTGAGCTAGAACCATTCGCCAAGAAAGCTTCGGTGATGGCTGCGATAGACTACATTGTCTGCGAGAAGAGCGATGTTTTTATACCGTCACACGGTGGGAACATGGGACATGCGTTACAAGGACAAAGAGCTTACGCTGGTCACAAGA